GAGGCCGAAGTGGGAGGATTGCTTGTGCCCAGGAGTTCAGGACCAGCCTGAGCAAAATAGGGAGTCCCAATCTCTATAAAATAAAAATTTAAAAATGTAGCTGGGCATGGTGCCACGTGCCTGTGACCCTAGCTACTTGCCAAGGTGAGGTAAGAGGATTGCTTGAGTGCAGGGTTTCAAGGCTGCTGTGAGCCACAATCATACCACTGCACTCCAGCCTGGGTGGCAGAGTGAGATCCTGTCTTTAAAAAAAAATTAGCTTTGGGAGGCTGAGGCGGGTGGATCATGAGGTCAAGAGATCGAGATCATCCTGGTCAACAAGGTGAAACCCCGTCTCTACTAAAAATACAAAAATTAGCTGGGCATAGTGGCATGCTCCTGTAGTCCCAGCTACTCGGGAGGCTGAGGCAGGAGAATTGCTTGAACCCAGAAGGCGGAGGTTGTGGTGAGCCGAGATCGGGCCATTGCACTCCAGCCTGGGTAACAAGAGTGAAACTCCGTCTCAAAAAAAAAAAATAAAATTAGAAAATCCCAAATATATTCACTTGAAAAATATGTGAGTTTTGCATTCACCGTGTAGTTATCATAAATCTACCAACATTTGCAACTTATCAAATACTTTCATATGCATTTTCCTCCAAGACAACTTTCAGGCACCTATCATCATTATCTTCATTTAACACTGAGAGAATCATCCATGTTAAGTAACTAATCCAAGATCATTAACCAAGGAGTGGAAAAACCAAGGTTTTTCATCTCTGAAACTTGTCTTTTTAACAGCATGCCAATCTGCTATTTTGCTGTATCTAGATGGCCAAGAAAGTGCTAACATATATAGTTAAAAAAAAACTTTAAATTGAGTTGGAACATAGAAACTCTAGAGGGCATACAGTACACTAGTAAGTGTATAGATTGATAATATTTTCATATGTAAATGCCTACATAAAAACCATCTAAGTCAAGATGCAAACTCTTTCCAGCACCCCAGAAGTTTCCCTTGTGTCCCTTCTTGGTCAACATCCATCCTTCCAGAGATAATCAGTATCCCGGTTTATGTTACTTTTGATTTGTTTTGTAAGTTCTTGAACTGAAGTTGGAATAATATTGTGTGGAATAATATCAATGGAATGATATTGTGTACGCTCTTTTGTTTCTGGCTTCTTTTGCTCATTAAAATGTCTGTGAGAATCATCTATGATGTTGTATGTATCAGTAGTTGGTTCTTTTTTTTTTTTTAAAGTTGTTCCTGTTTAGGCTTTTATTCCTGTTTCTCTTGCACAGACATTAACACACGTTTGTCTTTTTATTTTGTTTATTCCCACTCAACTGTATGTTCTAGGTAGGGCCTGATACAGATGTTACTTGATGTTATTTATTAGATACTGAGGTCAGACAATCCAAGGCCATCATTTTACTAAAATTAAAGTTATTTATGGAAGTTCATAGACACTTCCAGGATTGGTTTAACCTCCTACATGGGAACATGTTCAAGAAACTCAGGACGGGCTTACTGGTCTGACTCAACTCTTCCCATTCATCAATCCCTATTCACCAGTAGCACGGAATTGTTCTTTAACAAAGCATTATACATATCACCTCTACCAAAGTAAACATAAACTTTTTTATAGTTAAATGCAGAAAGTCATTTTTTTCCACCCCTTTCCTCCTTTTACATGGCAAGTAAAGCTCACTGGCCTGGGAGTTGCCTCTATTTGCCAACCTTTGGCCAGTGAAGAGGATTCAGAGAAAAGAATACGACCATCCATCAGAAAAAGAAGAGGCTACAAAGGAAAATAATTAGGCTGTAGCCTCAATTGTGCATTTTTAAAAACCCCAAATAAATCTCAAATTGTCAAATCAGCAGTGACTCCCCATTCCTGCCTAATGCCCCCTGACCTTCAAATCTGCAGTCGCTCCAGGTAACCACTAACCTACTTTCTGTCTCTATATAGACTTGCCTGTTCTGGACATTTCACATAAATTGAATTATAATATGTGGTCCTTTGTGACTGGCTTCTTTCACTTAGCATAATGCTTTCAAGGTTTATCCTTTCTGGAGCATGCATCAGTATTTCAATTCTTTTCTATTGCTAAATAATATTCTACTTTATGAATATATTAAATTTTATTTATACATTCATCAGTTGAGGGACATTTGAGTTGTTTCTACTTTTTGGCTATTATAAATTATGTTATTATGCACATACTTGCAGAAATTTTTGTGTGGAAACATGTTCTAATTTTTGTAGACTCTATCCTAGGAGTGCAACTGCCAGGATATTATCTATGTTTAACATTTTTATGAATTGCCAAACTGTTTTCTATAGTGATTTCACCATTGTACATTCACACTAGCAATATACAAGAATTTCAGCTCTCTAAATCCTCAGCAATACTAGCTGTTGTCCATATAATTTGGTTATAGCCATGCTAGTGGGTATGAAGTGATAGCTCATTGGGTTTTTTTTTTTTTTTTTTGAGACGGAGTTCTGCTCTTGTTACCCAGGCTGGAGTGCAGTGGCATGATCTCGGCTCACTGCAACCTCCACCTCCTGGTTCAGGCAATTCTCCTGCCTCAGCCTCCTGAGTAGCTGGGATTACAGGCACGTGCCACCATGCCCAGCTAATTTTTTGTATTTTTAGTAGAGATGGGGTTTCACCATGTTGACCAGGATGGTCTCGATCTCTTGACCTCATGATCCACCCGCCTCGGCCTCCCAAAGGCTCATTGGGTTTTGATTTATATTTTCCTAATGACTAATGATGTTGAGCATCCTTCCATTTATATAGCTTCTTTGAAGGAATATGCGCACTTAAATTACTATTGCCTATTTGTATAGGTTATTTGAAGAAATGTTCACTTAAATCTTTACCAAGGTCACAAAGATTTTACTCTGACATTTTCTTCTAGGAGTTTTATAGTTTTAGTTATTAGATTTACATATATGATCTGTTTTGAGTTAGCTTTGGTGTAAGGTATGAAGTAGAGGTCCAAATTTCCTTATGCATGTAGATAACACAATTTGTAGGCAACAATTACTGGAAAGATAATTTTTTTCCCATTGAATTGTCATGGCACCCTTCTTGAAAATCAATTGACCATCAAATATGAAGGTTCATCTCTGACCTCTTAATTCTATTTCATTTATATATATATATATATATATATATATATATATATATATATATATATATAATGCCTGTACAACACTGTCTTGATTACTCTAGCTTTGTAGTAGGTTTTGAAACCAGGAAGTGCATGTTCTTAATTTTATTCTTTTTTGAGATAGTTTTGGCTACATTGGGTCTCTTTTATTTCCATATGAATGATAAGATCGAACTGTCAATGTTTTCCAAAAAAGGCAGCTAGAACTTTAATAGGGTTTGCATTGAATCTGTAGGTCAATTTTGGGAAGATTTACATCTTAATAATGTTAAGTCTTCTGATCTGTGAACACAGGCTCTCTTTCCACTTATTTGGATCTTATTTCATTTCCTTTAACAATGTTTTATACTTTTCACTACATGTATCTTGCATTTTTTCTGTTAAATTTATACTTTGGTATTTTGTTTTATTCCTTTTGCTGTTATTTCAAATAAAATTGTTTTCTTAATTTCATTTTTGGATTGTTCATTGCTATTATTTGAAAGTACTATTGATTTTTAAAAGCATTTACCTTGTATCCAGTCACATTATTTTTTTATACTTAGTTCTTTTTATTTCAGCACAATATTCCATTATCCTTTTTCCTATTAAGGGACATTTAGAGTCTTCCCAGTTTTTGGACATTCTGAATAATGCTAATATGAACAGCTTTGAACATTTTTTGTGGACATAGATACTAACTTATGAATATATACCTTTTAGTAAAATATCTGCATTATGGGCATTTGTTTAGCTTTAGCAAACATTGGAAGTCATTTTAGACGATTTGCCTTTGTGTCTGTACTTTGGCTATATCCACAGTTTGAATTAATTCACAATGACTTCTATTTGTCTTCATTAGTGATTGATTAGTATTTATCAAAATTGAGAAAATGCAAAACACTCCAAAAGACTGGATTCCTGTGGTGGGTCTTAAGACATGACATTGATAGAAGGGTAAAATGAAGAATCAGAATAAGGCAAGGAGAATGTATAGCTTCAAAAAGCATATTCAGTAGATTTTGTTTTTCTAGCATAAACCATAGAAAGTAAAAATTGAAAATTATTTTTCAGGGTGAGAAAGCCTGGTTTAGTGGTCATTTATAGATGTGGTTAAAACAAAAATAACATACCAGCTCCTTCCTACCTGCCTAGTTTTAAAGGGCTGCCCTTTCCTCTACTTTATAGCTATCTCTTACCTGAATTTGTCTTAAAATACTGCATGAGAAGTAGTTAAAACACAAAGTAAACTTAAATGTAAAGAAATGATTTAAATCAATTTAGAGAAGCTATTTTCCCCACACTGTACTTTCTTTATGATAAAAGGAATCAGAAATATGTAAAAAAATAATTCTTCCATTAACCAAAGAATGACAGTGAGGTTAACTTTTTCTTGTTTGAACAAAATTCTAACCTGTTCGGGAGAACCTTGACTAGGTTGCCCAAGATCTTTTTACATGGGAGTATAAAGAAAAAAAACATAAAAATGTATTTAAACTTTAATTTAACTAAAAATAGGTAAAACTATACATTTCAACATTGGCAGGATTTCGGCTCCTAATGAGAAATGAAAAGGAAGCCAGATTTGAAGAAAAATTGTTAAGCATATTTAAAGTTTGAGTAGTTTATTTTGTGGGCACTTTATAGAACATTTTGATTTAGTATTTTTGGATACAGATGATGGATTATAAAGTTCTTTCTTTTAAAAGTCAACATAGTTAACACTGTAAAAGTTTAAAAGTTTTTTGAGTTTAAGGGCCTTATTTTTATTAACATCATTTTTATTTTTCTATATATCTTTTCTTAACATTTTGTTTGGTTATTTCAGTATATGTGTTTATGACTTTTTCAATACGTTAACTCTATAGTTTTGTCACCCTCCTCACTTTCCAAAGGCATCTCTAGGCTCTTTATTGCACCTGGTAAGTGAAGATGCCTGGGTTTGAAACTCTACTCTTGAACTGCTACTTCCATTCATCTTTCCTATTGCTACTCTTACAGAACCGGTTCTTCTCTCTTATTAAAAAACATCCCTGTTCCAGCCCTAGTTGTGGAAGGTGGCTGTAGTCATGGTGATGCTTCAGCAGATGAGAACGAATGTGGGCAAGTTGCTCAACAATATCCATAGGTATAATTCTGAGAACCTGGACACCCTAGAGAGCTATGTGGAGATGCAGGCCAAGGAGAATGCCTATGGTTTAGAAGCCAACTTGGCTGTCTTGAAGCGGTGCTAGTTTAGCCCAGCCTTCTTTCAGACCGTGTCACTGCCCACCTACCTATCCCACCCCTACTTCATCCTGTGCAAGTATACGTTCATCCAAACACATCAAGAAAAGCAGCTGATCCGACAGATTTTGTACCTGGGGGATCTGCCTTGACACTTCCAGGCCTTCTGGCAAGCCCTGGATGAAAACATGACCCTTATACAAAGTATAACTAGCTTTAAAGGCTGTTAGAAAATTTGTCTGCCATGTCATGGATATCACTCAACTAGCACATTTACTGCTGGCTGCTGGCTCAGATGCTCTGGGATTTGACAGCCAGCCAGCTGAATGTATGGATGAGAAAATATGGAGGAAACACCAATGAATGAGTCAGGGCAGATCTTCATCTGTAGCCAAGAAGAAAGCAGGAAGCCCAAGAACATTGTGGAGAAGATCAACTTTGAAAGTGTTTCCAGCATCATGGCCTCCTCCCAGTAACTGCAGGTGTTTAATAAAGATTTGTTGAATCTAAACCTGAAAACAAACAAATGAAAAAACCCTTCCCTTTCTTATTTCCCGATCCTCTGGTATCTACCAGAGCCTTGCTACTTTTCTTGTAAATCATTATAATTAATATTCCTGATAGCATCACAGAAATCATTTCTCCTTTGACTTTCTAGCTTGTGAGCTTTGCTGATTCCCAACTTCTGGTGAACACCAAAATCTGTTTCTTCAGTTGTCACTTCTGGAGACTGAATGTTCCTGGAGGAAGTCACATAATCATTTCAGTTGGCTGAGTATTCTAGAAGGAAGCCATATGACCTTTCTGATTGACTTCTTCTGTACGTAGAGCCTCAGTGTTCTCACAGAGCCACAATTCACCTGCCACTTTGTTCACTTCCTTCTTAGAGCATGGGCTATTGACATTTCCAATTTCAGCTCCTAATGTCTACCTGGGTCCCCTCTGTACTTTTCTAAAATAAAGCAATTTGTCAACCTGCCTCTTGTCTTTCTTAAAATCCCTTTACCCCTCCTCCCATTCTTTCCCTTCTATAATTGCCCCTTTTTCCTTCCAAAATGAGTTCCCACATAGGTGCCTTTGATCCCATCTGCATGTTTGCAGTCCTGCCGCATCATATACCTTTCTTTCAGGGTCAATTTCTTGAACTCATTTCTTTCCTTTCTTGCGTGTGTGTAGAAAATGATTTATTTAGAGAGAGAGAAACAGGAGGAGAGAGAAATAAACAGCTAACTCTCACATTGAGTGAGAGAATCCAGAAAAATGGAATCCAGGAGAGAAAAGCAGCTTCCACACTGAGTGGAAGGGAATAGAGAGAGATGGAGTTTAGGAGGAGAAGACAGGCTTCCATGAAGGGAGTGTTTGTGGAGGGGGACTCCAGAGGGAAAATCCAGGATAGAGAAAAATAGCTTCCACAAGCACGAAGAGTGTTTGTCCGAGGGGATACGAACATGGAGTCCCGAACTCATTTATTTCATTAAGAAAATATTTTTCTGTAAGCCAGTAGGTTTCAATTGGAGGTGACTTTACTTCTTAGACAGTATTTGGCAATGTCTACAGATCGCGCCATTGCACTCCAGCCTGGGTAACAAAAGCGAAACACTGTCTCAAAAAAAAAAAAAAAAAAAAGAAAATATTTTTCTGTAAGCCAGTAGGTTTCAATTGGAGGTGACTTTACTTCTTAGACAGTATTTGGCAATGTCTACAGATCGCGCCATTGCACTCCAGCCTGGGTAACAAAAGCGAAACACTGTCTCAAAAAAAAAGAAAAAAAAAGAAAATATTTTTCTGTAAGCCAGTAGGTTTCAATTGGAGGTGACTTTACTTCTTAGACAGTATTTGGCAATGTCTACAGATACTTCTGATTGTCACAGCTGGTATGGGGGAGGTGCTACTGTCCTCTGTTAGGTAGAGGACAGGGATCTGTTCCACATCTTCACAGGGAAGATCCTCCTAACAAAAAAATTATCCAGTGCAAATGTCATAGTTCCATGGTAGAAGAACCCTGCTCTAAACCTGAATCAAGCCCAAATTTTGCTTCTCCAAGCAATTTAAATAATATGCTTTTATGACTGTGTTTATTTCTTTGAGTTCTTCGTTTATCTTCCAATTTACACTATCAAACTTCTAGAGTAGAAGTCACCATTTCTGGCTTAATTTCATTATTTTCCACTCATATCACTGAAAAACACATGATAATGATAAAAATTGCTGCCCACCAGAAATCATTAAGGTCCTTAATAGACTCAACTTTTTCTCCTGGGCACCTCACAATGACCTAGGGAGTGAAGAAAGCAGACGGGAACACATCCCAACTTGTGAATGAATTGCTAGTAACAGGAGCATATGACCTTGAACTTAGATACTTATTTATTCATATTCATTTATTTATTTTGAGATAGTCTTGCTCTGTTGCCCAGGCCGGAGTGCAGTGGCGCAATCTTGGCTCACTGCAACCTCAGCCTCCCAGGTTCAAGCAATTCTCCTGCCTCAGGTTCCTGAGTAACTGGTATTGCCCAGCTTATTTATTTATTTATTTGCATTTTTAGTAGAGATGAGCTTTTGCCTTTTGCCATGTGGGCCAGGCTGGTTTCGAACTTCTGACCTCAGGCAATCCACTCCCTTCAGCCTCCTGAAGTGCTGGGATAACAGGCATGAACCACTGTGCTCAGCCTAGATACTTACTTAAACATTTGTTAAGGTGGCTAAAAAATTATTCTTGCTGATTTTTTTTGTGCTGAGAAATCCTCAACAGTGGCTTCTTGAAACCAATATTCTTGAAGACACATTTGAAATCCAATTGTGGAAAATAATTATCTGAAATACATGGTGTTTTTTAGGAATAATAGAATTGATTAGAAAATAGTCAGGCTGCTTGTACAGATAAGGCCACACTTGAAAGGCTATGCTGTGGGTGTGGTTCCTCTCAATGAGGGCACCACGTTTCTTGAAAATATCAACAAATGCTGCACTCTTTACAAAGACACCTTGCTCCAAACATTTCCTTCCCAGTTTTCAGTGTTTAATAGGATATTTGAATACATTTAAAAAACCCCAAATTTTTAGTAACATGGGAATAACCCTAAATTATTTCTCACCCCTGTTACTCACATAGACAGTTGGAGGAGTTGCTCAGAATACTCTGAACTCAGAAATGAATTCTTATTTCCCTTCTTACAGGAAAAATGATGAAGCATCACAGGGCAAAATCCCAGACAGAGGGTTTTGTCTTGATGATAAAGAGTAGATTGCAAAGTTAGGCTTTTCTTTCACAGATTTTAGTTTTTGATTTTCAGCTCTATCTAGAAACTGTTCTCTTACAAATCAAACTCTGCAGTGAAAATGAAACTTTTGATGAAAAAAGGGACTCTGAGGTTTGATGCATTCATTCTTATAAAAAGTAATCATCAACTTACTTGTTTTCACTAAAAAAAGGCCTTTGGAAGTATTCCCTTAAGGAAATAAGGAGACTTACCAGAGACTCACAGACCTTTTCTGTCCACTTTATGACCCAAGTGTTATGGGTTCTTACTGAGGAAAGACTGTAAAATTTTTATTAAAAGTGACCTGAACATGAACAATCAAATTCTATTACTTTCATTTTTAAAAAACAGGTAGTCAATATAACAGCATCTTATTTATTCACCAATGATATAGGTAGGAAAAACTTTGAGGATGAGGGGTCCGAGTAAGTTGGTGGAAGAATCTTGAGAGTAGAGGTATGAGCTTGGACTTCTATCAAGATAGGAGTCAAACCTTAATTCTAAAAGTGACAAATACCGTTAGTATTGGTAGATTTGTATAATTTTCCCACATATAGAAATGATTTAATTCACAATCTCATCTTCTAGAAAATTGGCACATAACTCTTTGTACTGTTTTCAAGGAATTTGTTCAGAAAGTGAGAACATGTATTATGAATGCCTTCAAGTCATTTACCATAGCTATCCAAAGAAGGAATGATAAAATTTATAGATGACAAATTCAGTTCTCTCTAAATTATTCATTTTTAAAAATTCAAAATCAAGATAAAGAAGAAAATAGCTAAAGAAATCCAACAGAATTCTTGTTTGACAGTAATTGGAAACCAGTGATTGGAAGCAGTTGGTGCAATATGTTCTACAAAGGGCTTTTTAAATTTTATTTTTTTGGTTGCTTTCAGAGCTCTTCACCCTTTCAACACTGCTTAAAGAAATGCAAGTGCCAAAAATGGTGCTGAAGAACTTTCCTAGCTGAACGGAAAAGTTTTGAAAAGGGAGCTGCATTTTTAATAGACTAAATTATATCTTATTCAAATCTAAGGAAAGAATTCTCTCATTGTGAGTTTCTTTTTTTTTTTTTTTTCTTTTTTTCCTGACAATAAGAAATGACTCTAGAAGAAAATACAATCTATGAGCATGACTCAAGGATTTTCTTGCCACCCCTGCCTGGTTCTCTGTAGGGCTAAAGTTACAGAAACATGACAAAAGGTACTCTTCCCCACCCTCATAATGAGCAGCCAAGCTCTTACTCTTCTGGGGACTAGAGGCAAAGAGTACAACTTACAGGCTAGCACAGCTTTCTTCCATCCTGAGCCCCTCCCTACTCCACATCCTGCTATGTTTTGGCAGATATAATTTCAATTCGATTGTAAAGATGCTAGGCATCCCCTTGGAATCCTGGAAAAGCAGAATTATGCAAGAGAATGTCACTCATTTTGGTTATTGCCCCAGATCTGTGGGGGAAAATGGAAAAAGAATGAAGTCTCCTACTCTATTTTTTCCATTCTTTTAAATAAGGGATTCTGTCTTACTTAAGAGCAAAGCATCATTGGGCCATCTGGATTTTCTTCAACTAGTTCCATTAGCCTTATAGTTAGAAACACATTCCAAATGCTGGCCTTAGATAAGTTGTATTAGTTTTCAGCATTGTCATAAGATCTCTGGAACTTCAAAGATATTTGAATTGGAAAGCAAAGAGGCTAACTCTAGCTCAACACTCTTTTAAATGAAAAAACCCAACTTTACCAGTTTTCACATTAAATAAATTTATGTCTTTTGGCTACACACACACAAATCCACCAAATATTGAGTGCTGGAATTGGAATTTTCATAAGCATTTAAATGAGATCCATATTTTCAATCATGACTATTTTTCCCCTTTTCATGGGTGTGTCATCAATACTGTGAAAACCCTAAAGGAGAAATAAATGGAGAAGCATGCCAGAACTGCATGTGATGTTGAAATGGGTCTGAATGCTTTTCAAGATTTCACTATTCCTTTTTCTCATATTTATCCCAAGAGTATAAAAGTTCAGTGAAATGCCCTGGGGATATACTGTTTTATGTTTTTGATCTATATCAGTTTTTTATAATTTTGTATAATGTGGTAATCTAATACGAATTAATATTTCCATAGTTTTCCAGTATTGATAATAAACTATACAAAAATGTTCTAACTTAAGTTTGAGACACAGTTTTAAACCAAAAAAAGTTACCTTCTTAGTGGCCATTGATTATCTTTATAAAATC